TTTTCCTTATTGAAACCTTATTGATTAACTTGTGAATATATTATTGTATGTCTGAAGCAAAATACATGACGGCGGATAGATGAGATGAGAGAATGAGATAAAAAGTCTTTTTTTTATTTTTTTCCTTTTAGAGAAAACCGTGGATCACATTCATTTAGTTTAAAATGTTTAATACTTATGTTATTTTGTCAATAATAACTAAGTTATTTGATTTATTACTAACAAAAGCATAAAAACCTTCGAATAAATAAAACATGTCATAAGGATAATATAAAATATTAACTCCTAAAACTTGCAGTTTGCGTAAATGATGCACGTTGCTTAGACTCTTTTCATGAGTTAATTTAAGCATTTAACTGCTACATTTATAGTTTTGAAAAAAAAACTAAGAAGTAGTTCACTCGGTCGTGGTCCCAATACCGACTGATGCCTGGACCAAAATTTTCTTTAGAATTTGTTGATCACTTTGCTTAGTAAACTTTTTTAAAGGGGTTCCCATTTTTTTTGTCTATAAAGTTGATCATGTATTGATATTGGTTACTAGATAACTGATTAATAGGTAGTAGGCGTATAATTGCTTTACAACTTCGTCTTTGACACTGTACCAAACTTGTAAGGATTTGGCGATACAATTCGGAAAGATATTGCTGCAATGTTGTGTACTAAAGTTTGGCATCCCGACCTTTCACAGATAAACAAATGTACCTACTTGAAAGTTTCAATCCGACGTCGATTTTATAATCCCCAACCATTGCGTCAAACAACTCTGAACAACTAAAAAGTAGTATACTATTTTCTTTCGAATGCGCGATGGGACTACAGCTAGAAGGTTGCAAGTTTGTCGCAGTATACGTGTGTATAGAATATAAAACATTAGGCAGTTGATATACAGTGCTGAGTTCCCAAAGGGGCAATGAAATAGGAATACAGCGATAAGAAAGACATACGAAAGAACAAAGTTCTTTTTATAAGAAATCATGCGTTTTTATCTGCTTAGAATTTTGGGCTTGCCACAGACTTAACTGGAAATACAGTACATCTACATTACTGTTTTTCCAGTAAGTCTGTGGCAAGCCCAAAAGTGATTAAATATCAACAGTTTTTTTATTTATATTCATTAATTTGACGTCTCTATTCAGGTTGTTTTTGTGATAATACCACCCCACCGCCCAATGAGTTATTGAAGCTTTCTTTTTCTTCTGCAGTAATTATTATTTTGTGAATATTATTAAATATTAATTCCAATACACTGGCATCAAAAGGTTTTATTGCTATAGTTATTGTTTCCGCGAAAAATTGGTTTACCTAATTTGCTCTTTTCTTGAATATCAAAATGGCAACAATGAACCATTTTCTTAAATATGTTGTATTCCTAATATTTTCTAGAACTGGAACCACAAAATTGGATTTATAATATACAATGATTGCACTACTTACTTAAAGGTACATCATTTTTTTTCTTATAAGATTCCAAAAACATCGTTTTTTTTTAATCCACATCATAAAAGATTATGTTCAATTTCCATACAATAGTTCAATTCACCAATGTCATTTCGACTGATTCAACTAAGATAAAGGAATGAAAATACGAATCAGTGGTAAAAATATTTTACTATTCACACACACCAATCTTACGAAACGTCAAAAATAAGTAACGTAAAAACAATGAAACGCGCTATATACTCCTCCAAAAAAGTTTTATCTGATATAGTTAAGGTTGGTTACCTTAATAATAAGCATAAATCAATTTTATTCTATTACGGCAAAGTTACCAAACACTCTTAATACACACTAATGAGATTTATAATTGGCCCGTTGAATAATTATTTAGAGTGGGCAATCAAATAAACATATTAACATTAAGCTGGAATAACTATTATGGGAATTACAACTCGGCTGGTTAAGGTCAAAGGTGTTCCGCATGATGTGTTCCGGGTGAAATTACGCACAGCTTGCTTCAATTCAAATTCTTGGAGTGAAAATTTTGTGCGTAGTTATTTGAGCGTGTTTACGGACTCATAGATAGTACAGAAAGTACTACATACAAAATGCTCTTGAGCAACGCACATATAGACACCGCTCACGGTTCACTGATCCCAACTGTAGTGCTGCGAAAATTTTACAGAATAGCACGGCTAGTCCGAGACTGCGAGCGGGAGTTTCATAACGCATGAAGCATGCGTCTGTTACAAAAAGAAATCAGTAGACGGTTGTTTAATTTCAACATTTAACGGAAATTATAGTTTTATTTTTTAATATGTAATAAACATTAGAAGTTAAATATTTAATTTCTTAGGTTTTCACGCACATCACTCATTAAATAAAACTAGTTTTGACGGGTTAATTCACGAAACTTTCGTCGGAACGGTCTGCATCGTCAGAATGCTGATTTTTTATTTAATTTAACGTCAACAAATAAATAGAGTTTCGTGCATTAACCCGTTAAAACTAGTTTTATTATTAAATATTTAAGTTTAGAGTTCCGTTCTTTCTGTTTCATTTTCGACAATAAATCAAACAAAAATACGAGTGTTTTTGATCGTATTTTGTGCATAAGCCAAAGTTGACAATCCTAACCTGACCGCAGAGTATAGGTATGCAAAGTGAAGTACAAACATGAGATTACCTTCTGCACTCTCTATTTTGTGATCCAACCTTACGTGAACCGTCAACATCTCGCTGGTAAATACAAAAAATCGGCGTGAAATCGAGTTTGTACAATGTCAATATCCTTTACTCTCAAAATTAAAATAAAAGGCCCCAAAGATGGGATATCTTGGGTCGCATCACCCCGAGTTCGATCCTAACCACGGGAACATTGGCCGCTTTTACATATATATTGTCAGTAATAATAATAGATATGCAAAGGTTTTAGACGAGATTTTTCGTAATTTGAGCCTGAGCTATATTTAATATTATATTTGAGCATTTCAATTCATCGAACATTATAATTACATAAGTACCTATATTAAAATTCACGGTATTGCCTCTTACCCACAGCTCAGACGATTTTTATCTTATTCATCATCATCATCAGCCTATTAATGTCCCCACTGCTGGGGCACAGGCCTTCCCTATGAATGGATTAAGGGGATTGGGCCATGACCCACCACCGGGCAGGGCCCAGTGCGGGTTGGTGGGTGCTAACGACTGCAGATGCAGCCGATCCGAAGCACGGAGGAGCTCGAAATACCACTGGCGCCATCGAGCTCCTCATAGTTATTTTATAAAATTTATCTAGTTAATATTTTTTTAGTTTATCTTATTATTTAGAGTCATTTTATTTATGATACAACGTTAGTTCCTTTGATTGAATCTCTGGCTCTTACAGTTTTGTCGTGTTTATGAGATTATATAGTATGCGATAGTGTATAATCCAGATTGCGAGATTGACAGAGGCAGATTCAAATCTGCCTGATAAATATTGAAACATTTATCTTGTTTAATAAGAGCCTAAGCCTAAGCTTCATAATAGAATACCTAAATGTTAAGTCTATTATTTGAAATAAATAATAAAGGTGATGTCATGGACAAGTTAATATAGTTATCTACTGTTGAGTTTTCAATTGTATACTCCCGTCAATAGTAACCTTGTTTCGGTATTAATCAGTTTTGATTAAACTTTTGATCCATATCGTCCTACTTAATACTACAAATGTGAAAGTTTGTATGTTTGTTACTCAATGACGCAAAAATACTTTACTAATTAGGATGACATGTGATACGCATGTAGTTTATGATTTGGATCGAGACATAGGATACTTTATATTCCGGAATAATGTTAGGTTTCTCTGCGATTCTCAATTCAATTCAATTTATTTGCATTTAATAGCTACAAATAATGGTGTTACATTTAATCTAAATTGTATCTTAACCTGTCTATTCATAAAAAGATAACACGCAAAATTTTCTATTCAATTCCTCCTATCCTATACCTATATAGAAGATAAACAATCAATATTATTTTTTAAAGTGTCAATGCTGAGCGTTCATCTTATTATTGTTAATTTATTTATCGACGACGACGGTATACTAAATATACTAAATTTTACGCTCCTTCTTTGGCTTAATATGTTGTCTCATCATTATAATGAGTAGTAGTCTATTTTCAGTTTTGAACAATGGACAGGTACTATAATAGTATCGCTTATTCAATAAAATACGAATGTCGAAACTCGACACTCGACGACAACAACAAAAATTGCTGATAACGCAATACACAGACTTGTATTGTTGTTCTTGTGCCGTCTGAAAAATATGACTTATTTCGTAGCAATAAAAGCAATATTCGTATTGTTGGTACTGCCAATTAATCCATTATTGATCTGGACTAAACTAATATTACTTTCTTTCTAGCTATAGTGACTTTAGAGCATTTCGATATTAATATCACACTTTTTGTCATAAAATATTCATTATTGATAAATAACTTAAAAAGAAGATATAACAATCTTAAAATAATAAAATCTCTTTTTATTTAACGTAAAACAAATCACAACTAATCTGAACACAATAAAATAAATCACATGGCATATAGACCCCGGATACATATCCGTTGAATTACATGGAAGTTGTCCTTGTCCAGCAAATAACATTTTATGATAAACGTTCTTAGAAGATCCTCAACCATGGGTGTTAACACCGTTTGCGTCAGATTACGCCACTTCAAGACCTGATTCAGGACGACAATGAGGATTATTAGTATTCAACCGGCGCCGCCCTGCGATTTTGTATTTAGAACGTGTTTGGATATGTTTCTGCACAAAATATCTACAAAATAAGGAAAATAAGATAGTGTCCTTGGAAGCGGGCAGGGTACACAAGCTCGCGCCTAATGGTGTATGAAAAGGGAATTTCATTTTTGCCCGCCAACGATTATAATACAACGTACAAAACATCGGTATTGCGAATATAAAACGCTTAGTAGCGCGTACTAAGCCCTTTATAAAACACAATATAATATTATTATGTTGGAAATGTTGATTTCTGTTCAAGTTAGAATGGTAATGGCATTATTGGTGTGCTATTACTATTACTAAGACTTTGTTAATATCTATGAGTGGTAGAACTAACGCTTAATAATATTTGAGGAATAATTTCGGAAATATAATATTTTTATATGTTGTGTTTTGCCAAAAAAATATATTTCATAATCGCTGCCATTCAATATTATGCCAAGTGTGTTATGCCAAATGAATTGCGGAGTATCAAGATTCTGCCAAATAGAGAAAAGCCAGTCTAAACATGTGATGTCTCAATTAAAAGCTGCGTCGATAAGCTTACAATAGTGATAAACTTACACTCGTATTGAATGATGAAAGTGAAATAAACTGAACTACACTTAGTTCTTCATATTCTCCTAAAATATTTCAACTGCCAATAAAACTATAAATAAAATACCGTGTGTTTGACATATCGAAAGATTCTAATATTTACTGGCAATTAAATTCTTCAACGTATCATAAATTGGTTTTCGACATAAACAAACTTTCATCCTCTATTTTACCTTTATTTTTAGCTACAAAGGCTACTCCTTCGTAGATGTCCTTCTTAAAAGTCCAATTTGTCTCCATTCGTAAAAGTTGTCAAAATCGGTTGAACAGTTTTGGCGAGACAAAGTTGCTTTCGCTTTGTCAATGTTAGTACTTATATACTACGGATTTTGGCGGGTATTGCGAACAGATCCATTAATCCTCCAGAGGTTACCTTCATTAAGATTTTACCTGTCCGTCCCTCGATAACGAGCTCCTGAACTCTTGTCGTAGTACGTACACGGGTTAGTTTCAGACTCGCCTTTTGTATCCACGAACTACATCGAATAGAATCATTCGAAGCGTTCAGTCGAACTTACAGAAACGACGTATGTTCTCATCCCTGCCTTTAAGAGATATATTGACGGCTATAAACTTGTATTTTAGGAACATAGCAATTGTGTAATTCTAGTAATAAAGCTAAACTTAAAAATCCACAAGGATTAACAGGTGGACTTGATGGGTTCACCGGTACATCTTTATGGAAAACTATGAAACTTGTAGCAGTTAACAGTCGTCAGTTACCTTCGTAGCGTAAATAAACTACTAATTACACGTTAAGTAGATTCCATATCCGGAGCTGAAAGCAATGCTAGCCACAACATGCCACGCATTCAAGGCTTTTTCATAAATTAGGCAATGGAACAAAGTAGGTATTTTAAATTCGAAAGAATGCTGAAAAGGAATAGGTGCGAATGTAATAACAAAAGTGACGCGAATTAAGCATTAAGCGCGTAAGCAATAGAGGCGTGAACGTCATGGGCGTAAAGTACAACACACGAGTGATTTGCATGCCAATCGCGTGACAGCGATGTTAACGCCGAAAAATACTCTGGAACGGCGTCGCCGTCGACGCGCCGCCTCCCGCTCGCCGCCGATAATCCTTGACGCGGAACCGGAGCTCGCAACTTGAGCCCGCGAAATACCCGTTATTTCGTCGGCCCCTTGTTATAATACCCACGCACTTATGCAACACCCGAGGTATTTCCGCGCCGCGAGAAAGTGTACAGCGTCTTTTTTTTGTTTCAGCTGAATACGCGAACGAGATTCGATCACACCCAACCTCCATTATTTATTTATGTCGATTAAGCTTTTTGCAAGAGGATGTAGATATTTTCACGACGATGGCTTAAATATGTAATATTTCCAAAAGTCATAATAAAATACGAATTTATTAACCACCGACAAATGTTTGTCGTTATTGCAGCTGCAATTTATTATAAGGTATAAAGTACAATAATTGCAAGATAGCGTACGTACCATGCGTCTTATTAAATAAATAAAGCATAATAATAGCAAGGTTAATTCAGGTTTGTCCCCACTCTTACACCCTAAATTGCCCCTACTTTAGAAATGCAAGTAGCCGGTCTAAGAGAACATTGCTGCCAAATCACACTATTCTCTACTAAGTAAGAATTCCTTGGGGACCTACCCACAGTTCAACCATTCCAATCCAACCGGGGCGGCTGTGGCCTTATAAAAACAAGTTGGTAATATTCACACCATTGTTTCAGGTATCATGGATCCGTCATCGAGACCTGCATATCTTGACGGTCGGTGGATACACATACACGTCGGACCAGCGGTTCCAGGCGACGCACTCGGCGCACACGGATGACTGGACGCTGCACATCAAGTGGGCCCAGCAGAGGGACGCCGGCGTCTATGAGTGCCAGGTGTCGACGCAGCCGGTGCGGTCGTTCTTCGTCACGCTCCACGTTGTCGGTAAGTGTCCGTAATTGCTCTTAATATAGAACAGACTGTTCGGAATTTAAATAATTATACGTATACCTCCTTATTAATATCTGAATAAGCTTGGATTACTTACCCAATGTTTTATCTCTATTCATTGAATGTCAATAGGTATGATGAGTAATTTTTTTTCTTCGTTTATCAGGTAGATTATCAAAAAGTATATAAAAGATGTATTTCTCTAGCCATTGACAAGAACAACAAAACAAAATCGCTTTAAAAACTGAAAAATATTTGATCCTATTTAACTCATATTAAGGCCCGTATTATAGAAAGATTCACAGTGATTGATCTAATCTCGAGCATAGTTAGAAAGGGATGTCGCTATATATAGCTCATAGCGATATCCCTTTCTAACTGTACTCAAGTAAAGATCAACACTTAGTTGTCATTCTGTAATACGGGCCTAAGTGTCTTACTTCTCGTCCCACTAACTCAGTTTTAAGTCAGTTTAGCTAATCAACTCGTATGTTGTATGTTTAATATACAAAAAAAGGTTAAGATTGAAACGAATAATATTGCTGTGCTTTTTTACCACGCTTTATGATTACATATCGTAAGGAAAATGTCTCTCAATGTCACGGCACGGCGCGGCTGTACGCGCGTTTGATGAGTAATAAATTGTCATCAGTAATAAGGGCGCTATAAGGTACACGGCTGTTTTATCAACCGTAAAATATTTTGTTGCCCTATACGCATATCATGTAATTGGTAAATTGCCTCTTGATATTTTGTGTATATTAATAGAATTAAAACAACAGTACTTTAATAAGAGACTTATTTTCTCTCTCGAATGGATGATTTAGGCAGACATTATTTTTTTTACTATTCAGTCTGTTCGCACTTAGGAATTGTAACAAACAGCATCTCAGTTTTCAATTAGGATATAAGTCAGCTCTTGTGTAGATTCTTGTTGGCTTAACGTTATCTCACTGTCTGTACAAATAAGCTGTTATTGAAATTTCTGAATTATTAATATTAACGATTCCATTATCGTAGATAACCACGGTGCCCGCGTCACGCCACACTCGCTCCATTTGTTGTAAGCGCATTATATTAGGGCGGGAACCGACCATTGGCGCATATTAGCCACGCGCCTAGCGATGTTTGCGTTCCATTCCATCTCGATTTGAGCCAGAGCGGCCCGTTCGTACAAATGGTGACTCGAAAATGCGATGCGAAATCGGCATCGAGCCATTGTCACGGAACATTTTAACATATTTATTGGAGCGGATGGGCGTGCTTTGAATTAATTGGGTTGCTCGCGCGCCCAAATCAGCAATTTGTTGTAAATCCACAGATAAAGGCTAACCGCGCTCGCGCCCGCGCCGCTCGCCCGCTCCTCCCGCGCCCTCAATCAAATTCATCACGGCCCGATTGTGTTTGTCTAAATAAACGGACCGAAATCGAATACGCAATATCGGACCATTGATACGGGCAGGCTGATAGCAACTAGTAGTAACTAAATGCCCGAATGGCGCGCCGGAACGCTGATAGAAAATTTTATTCCGTAGAGCGAGCTCGTGAACCATTCCGCGCGAATAATATTATTATCCGCCACTTGCCGAAAGAATACGAATGATCGGGGCGTCGGGAAATGCAGTTGGTATTAGAGCCGGTACGGGCGGGTCAGCTGAACGTGTGCCAACGGCTTAGAAATTGAGATTATTCTAATATAATCCATAATAACTGCTCAATACGATTTCCCAGTTATAGCGGGTGCCGGCCGGCCAACATGGATTCTATCTGGAAATATTTTATATTAGAATCTAATATACCGAGAATCAGATTAAACATGAAATGACTCGTCCTTTTCACGCGAAATTTGCTATGTATCGAGTTTAGGATCATCTGACAATATTTTACTGTACACCTGTGTTACCGAATTCATCGAATCGGCCGGTCAGCCATTCTCGGTATGAATAAATAATAAACCACGAAATATTTTTCCATTTGAACAACACAACGTTTCAAGTTCATACATGCGTATTTTTATTAATAACCAAGATTGGTTTCAAATGTGTTCTTTATTGTTCTTTATTTAGAGTCTAAAGTTAATCATAATAATTTTATTATACTGTTAGTCAATTTTAACTTGCGAACAAAGTACTAAATGCTTTTATCGAAAACAGATTTTAATGATTTCACAACATTGACAAATTAGAATTTCGGAGTCAAAGTTATTCAAGTGGTCTAATTTCATTTGTAAAAACATCCTAGGATTTAAATGTTTCCTTGAAATCTTTTCGGAAAAACGCTTCCCAGTAAATTTATCAGGAACCACCACGAGCCAATGAACTGACTGTGCTATTGTTTCAACAGATTGCACCGAGATCTATCAACGGATGTTTTCCGATCAAGGTCTGTGCCAGTGTGTGCGGTGCTAGTCTAACCCAAGCCTAAACAAATATTTTGATTGATTTGAGTTTGAGCTCGTTTTGCGATACCAATTTTTGAGTGTGAAATTGACACAAGCTAATGGTTTCTTCTCTAAATGTGTACCGAGTATAATCATCATTTAATATAAACACTCTGTAATGGATACCTTGGGGCTCAAAGGCCGTAAACGCCAACAGTAAAATTTACATTATTAGCATTTTTTTTTGTCATAAGGTATCTTTTCTGTTTTTGTAGCTATTTATTCAAATATGTATCACTATATTGACATATAAAGTAAGAAAAATCAAAAGAGATACTACATTAAAAAAATGAAAAAAAATACTTATTGGCTCGGATATAAAATTGGCTTTTGGCGTTGACGCCTTTTGAGCCCCGAGGTATATCAATATATTACAGGGCGCGTACTTTTCAGTTCATTCTTTCGGCTTTTCATATAAAATTCAAAAAGCATAAAGTGGATTGGAGTAGATCAAAAATTATTTTTTTACAAAAAAACAATTATCTTCTTATAAATATTTAAAACCCGTTTGAGAGTGTTTTAGTTTATAACAAAAAGCATGCGAACTCTGAACTGAATTTCTTTCTTTCATAATATTAAACATAACTTTATTCGCTATCCCAAACCGATGTTTACTGGTTTTTGTGTGATTTTTCCTGATAAATAATGCAAACTAATACTAATATATTTTTTATACTTACAGCTTCGCTAAAAATCCCTCCATCCATCCATTCAACTTATCATTTATTCTGTAAAATATCTTATCGAAAGTTAAATATTTGTTTCGGTTCGACATCAAGACATGGGGATTACCTGTACCTTTTTTTACGAAAATACGTAATATGAATTTTGACCTAAATAAACATGAGGTAATCGTATTTGTAGTATAAACAAGTTCAACATATTTTTCCAATATTCCTAAATGGATTTATGACAAAACATTTATCATATAAGTAGTAATATAATCCTCTACTTATTATACTAATTTATGAATGTGAGTTTGTAAGTGTGTATGTTTGTTACTCAATCACGTTAAAACGGCTGAACGGATTTGGAGAAAAATTGGCATACATATATTTTATTACTTGGATTGAGACATAAACCACTTTTTATCTCGGAAGAATGCTAGTTTCCTGTGGGATTCCCAAAAAACTAAAATGAATGCAGCCCAGCCCATTCCAGACACATGTATCGGCCCATTTAATGTCGCCGCACACGGGCCACACGCCACAGCCACAAACGCCGCCACGAGAAGCGGCTACTAAAGTGGCTGAAGCGCGCGACAGCGGCCGACTAAGGTAAGGGAGAGAGGGGTGGGGAATCGCGCAAGTGACGTGTGGCGGCGTTCTGTATCGGCGCATTAATTGGCCGGTGCGGGCCACAAGTAGCGAGCAACGACGATTTGTAGCGTGTAGCGACCACCGGCGTACCGTGTGTGGCGAGTCCATATAAAATGTATGAAAACTACAAGGAATATGCCGGTGGCGGCGTTTTGTGGTTTTGGTTGGTGGCCCGTGTGCGGCGACACTTACAGTTATAAGTTTCAATGGTCTACAGCAAAAATATATGCTGTGGTTGAGCATTAATTTAAAAACACACTAGAAACCGTCAAAAACTATATTATCGTATTATCGTCTTAATATTATAAGTAATGTTATTAGATGTGTATGGGGCAGCAGATTATTAAGTATCCCCTACCTTTCACATACTCCAATTATCCATTAACATATAGGCATGCTAGATCATAAGCTTGTTTTTCAACCGTTAAATTGGTGTTTAAAACATACCCAACCTCACATTAAGCGTTAACTTTTGTTTCTTGAATTTAACATTTTTCCGGCATAAAAGTCTCCTATGTCTCAATCCCGGTCTTAACTATAGGCGTACCAAATCTCATCCAAATCCGTTCAGGAGTTTTTGCATGACTGAGCAACAAACATACAAACTCATAAGTATACAAACTTTCTCATTTATTATAACCGTCCATTTAGGAGAGGAGAGAAGAGGGGTAGGAGAAAGTAGAATTTTGTTATGGTACGAGTACGAATACTACGTATTTAGGTTACAATATTGACAGCAATCGTGATTATATTTGACAAACAAACATTGTATTTATGAATATCCATTCGAATGGTTCGATAAAAAAACAGGCCAGCATTTACAATTCAGCGATTTATTTATTACGCGTTAAAAGCGAACAAAACGTAGCAACATTCGCTGTTAGATTGTGACAAAATTTTAGCGGAATAGTTTTCCGTAGAGCGTGAAAAATACTTTAGTTTGTGTAGAACTGTTGGCTGATAAATAATCGGTCTGTGAACGGCCGATCCATTAATTTGCAGATACAGACACGCTATTCGGAATGATTTTTTTTCTGTTATAATGACTAGAGGTTACACGCGACTTCGTCCGCGTGGAATAATTTGTTTTTCATACGATTTTCCACTCCCCATTTTCCTATGTGCTTTCCCGGCACATAGACAATCTCTACAATAAATTTAATTAAAATCGGTTCAGTGGTTTAAGCGTGAAGAAGTAACAGTGAGACAGACAGCTCTTTTATATTGATATGAAAAATACTAGCGGGCGCCTGCGACTTCGTCTACGTTAACTTTAGCTTTTTGCGAATCCAACAGAAACCTAACATTTTTTCGGGAAAAGTAGTAATCATAATCATCATAATCTTTATTGGTTCATGTTATCTAATATCTTAATCCATGCCATAAAATATACGCCTATCAAATTCGTCCAAATACATTCAGTAGTTTTTGGGTGATTAAGTAACAAACGTACAAAGTCAGAAACTTTCACATTTATATTATTATTAGGATATAGTATCTAAATGTAAATCTCTGATCATAAAAATGACCACTCGTGCAACCTTCCTTATCGTATCTATTACAACCTTAGCAACAATTACATATGTAGGTTCTATCCGACACATAAAAAAAACACCGAAACGCAGATTACCAGATAAAAGCGCCAATGTTTGCTATACAGAACAAACGTCCGCATAATATTGTGTGCCGCCCGAAAGCGTTCCCTTTACAAAATGAAATCGCGTTAATTGAATCCATCCGTTCTGATATTAAGAGCCGTCAGCGACAGGCGGATGCGGTCGTGGCGTAGGTGGGCGGGGGGCTAGGGGGACCTGGTGTGACGTAATGTACCACTTTGGCAACTGTTAGTGTCCTTGCGAACGTATCAAATGTGCAAAGCCCGAGCTAATGAAATAAGTTTAAGATGTATTGGGACGCAGATTAAACGCTTCCAGTTTGTGGTCTCGGCCGTTCGTTCGGACTTGGTTGGAGTGAACGCACGAATATATGAATGGTCCACTGAGGCACTTTCATACATAGTGGTAAATAGGACCAACAACCATTTTTAGTTGAAATCGGGCAGTAGGCTCGTCATCGAACGAACAAAACTTTTCTGTACTTAACGTAGGTAACAAATAACATCACCATATTTTTGAAACACCTTTTTATATTAAAACTAGCTGACCCAGCGAACTTCGTACCGCCATAAAAATAGGGGCAGGTGGTTAAGAGAAAATGTAGGGTTGTATGTATTTTTACTAATACCACATTATAAAAAAATAAATATTGTCCAAAAAAAATTTAGGGGTGTGTAAGGTAGTGTTTATCAATTTCCTGGGATAACATTCCTCCTAAACCTTATGAGAACACTACTTTACAATACCCAATAGTTTGAATTTTGGCGCGAAGGCTCATTGTATGTTTCAGAACACTGCGTTACAGGTGGACAACCATTATCACTTGGGGATATGAAAAATTGATAGTAGCCGATTCTCAGACCCACGGAATCTGCATATAAAATTTCATAAAAATCGGTCAGGCCGTTTCGGAGGAGTATGGTAACTAACATTGTGACACGAGAATTTTATATATAAGATGGTGGCAAACAAGCGTATAATTCGCCTGTTGGTAAGTGGCCACCATAATCTATAGACGCTTGTAATACCAAAAATATTACTCTCACCGTTGTCTACTCTGTACAGGGTTAAAAAGCCGGATATTTCGATGAAAGTCCGGACATTTTAGTCACAAAATGCAACTCACTTAGTTACAGCGATATTATACGCGTGGTAGCAGACGTTCGCATCAGGGGTGGGGGGGGGTCTCGTTGTTGATTTGTAAAGATGATTTATATTTTGTTTAAAATTAATACAGAACTTAATAAAGATTATTTGACTTATTTCATATAACTTAATACGTAGTTTTACTCATACTCCATCTAATTAAAAAAATCCGGACAATTTCAAAAGCCGGACAAAGTCCGTACAAATCCGGACGGATGGTCACCCTCACCCTGATCCTATCCCCTACCCCGTGGAATCTTACTCACTGACAGAAATACAACACCACCAAAAGGTAATGTAATTTAACTGTGGTCTGAAATTTAAACCTATCGAATTTACTTTTATAGTAAAATATTACTTAATATCGCATTTGATTTAAGAAGGCTTTTACGCACTGACCCCGTTTTCATGTGCAGAGTTTTTTTTTAGCTTTCGCGAGGGGTTGGCTGGAAACCGAGCTTACGTTTGCGAAAAACTTTATTGGACTTTTAATTATGACTACAGTTTCGACGTAATTTATCAATAAATCAATCACAATTAAGTATTTTACTACTAATTCTACGCCATTGAAATTCGCCGTATGTTTATTTTTTTCTATCAACAAATCTTCAGGTTGAGTTTGGCTATATATATGTGTGTGTACAATATATACATGTATGTACATATATATACAGATGGAGCTAAAGAAGTTTCACTTCAGTCGTGTGATCATAAGCACACTCGTTTTGTTTTTTAAATAATAACGTTTACCACTTTATTTCAAAATGTGGACTTTAATGAGACTTCGTTAAAGCCTGACCCAACCAGCGGTCCTATGGGTTTAAAATTTTCTTTTTTAAAACAAAGTTCACAGTTTTTTTTAGAAAGGACCTTACTTTAGTCAACTTTTCAAGTATTGGTTTATTAATGTCACTCTCTCGATTACAATTGTGAAACAAAAGACTTTAAACGAACCAAGAGAATGGCGGCGTCTTTAAAGCTGCCACGAGATACAATTCCTGTAATGAACGAACTATTTACCTTTAAATTTGTCCGGAACAGCGCACGCGAGTCTGACTCGGAATTAACATGTTTGAATACAAGGCGGTGCACATTGCTCCACTTCACCAGTTTTCAAAATGTAAATCGAGTCCAGTCGGGGTATATATATATACATATTTAAATAGCTGATGTTGCATAAAACTGCGTCGCTCGAGCCATCCTCATCTTTCCAGGTAGAACCAAATCATATTCAACCATGGAGCCCTGGCATGCTATTCTGTAAAAGCGTGATGATCCAGATGTGATTGAAAATTAGAATTCAAAATTGAAATCTCCTGTGAAAAGTAAGTTTGTTCTTACAGTATGTAAGAAACCTTACCCACCAACAGAATATCTACACTACCAAGAAGTTATATTAAGGTCATCCTATGCAAAGTACAGCTTCCAGGTGCTCCCAACCAAACGATTCCTCTACCCCGTGGATACCTGGAACTGTACACACTAATAGAACCACAACGGCACCAGGTTTTTCATTTAATATACATATTATTAAAATTATATGTAAGCTGGAGCTTACTTACCCCTGACGGGTGCTCTAATTCGAGCGGGAAAACCCAATGTGTCTTACTCCTCTGGAAAAAGGTACATATGACAATGTCTTTATATCTTTCTTAATCCTAACTAATATTAAAAATGCGAAAGTGAGCATGTTTGTTTGATACTCCATCACGCAAAAACTGCTGCACTGATTCAGATGACACACGTGACACATATGGTTTATAACCTGGACAAAAGATACTTCTTATCCCATGAAATATCAGGTTTCTGTAGAATTCTCAAAATAATCAACTAGCCGCTAGTAATTAATTAAACTCAACACGTGCAAAATCGCTTAGCATTCCCAGTGTCTCGCCACGCCTTCACTGCATACTTCGCACCGATTCGGAATGCCGCCCGAATACTCCAGATAACAAGCTACCGGCAATTTGCTAATTAAAACTATAAGCCGTTTATTAATAACCCAAATTAACGTTTGCTTCGAAACATCAGAACGGCAAATGGTGGGTACTTTGCAGACAACATCAAAAGTGAACGATTCATCTCTGACCTTTAGATTAAGATTGTTCAAAACCGCAACATTGTTTTAAGGGTTCCCATTCTGGTCGGATCCCTCACAATCGTTTTCGCCTGCTTGTTAAATAGCGGCCATTATTTTCTTTTTGTTCTGTCTTACCGTGCCGGTTTGGGAGCAAAAGAAGGCACAATAGAAATAAGAAAATGCGCAGTCGTTTATTTTGCAGATGCCAAAAGTCTATTAAAACGTTAGGTAGTCTCGCAATGTATAAGAAATCACTTATATATGCAGTAAATAGACAGAGTAAGGATGTATAAAATGCTCCATTTGCCACCCTATATAAGAGAGTATTAAAAATAAAGTGCAAGAATTAATATTGGAAAAAAAAATATTTAAAATTTTAAGAAAAAGATAATCGTTTTCTTATTTACTGTCAGGTGACTAAAAACGCCTGGGATTGGCGGAGCCTAAAATGACATCACTCGCTAGTAAACTTTCGTTCAAAGTATTATTAAATTGTATCGTTTGGCGTTTAAATGACATTTGTGTGACGTCACATACCAGTGAGACGCCATATTCTCCAGAGAAAGGTTTTCGCGTCAACTTGAAAATGGTGTCTTTGGTTTAGTTTTTACTGAAATATACAGCAGAATAATGAATATCCACTTTTTATGGACTCCAAAAACATTAATAAATAACGTAAGACTGTTTTCTAAAACTTGACAAATCCCCGTTTGCTTTTTTACGCAATTTATTTCGGATTTGATACTAAAGAATTTACGATGCCACTACTTCTGGAAGGAATTTATAAAAGAGAGAATAACATACGAAGAAAATAAGACTATTAGAGTAAACAATACAGAGTCGAATCTCGAGATTATAAATGTGTCTCTTGATGTAGATTTATTAAGCATTTTCCACTTTATCTCAACAGACGTTAGAGTAAAAATATTGAGAACCGATAACAAACATAATAGTCTTTGCAGGAGCTATATGACGTCTCGATAGCGGTTGGCCTCCGATGATTCTTGAAGACAAACCTTCATAATCTAGCTCGTTTAAAACCGACTCCGACTCAGACCACGACATAGTTACGAAGCGATACCTACATACAACACAACTGCTCTTCACGATGGCGGTCCAACGAATAATGATAGAAACCGCCTGCGGTTACCGCGCCAATATATATTTTATGTACTACAAATTTTGGCGCGGGTTTTACCCGCGAGCCGTGTAACAAATCACAGTTTTAAAATCAGTCGCAGGAAAAAACCGCTGGTGCGGTCGCTTGCAATAGGTCCCAAAACTACGCGGTTAAAAACTGCGGCGGTTTATCCGAAGTGCGGCCACTTAACCCCACAAAGACAGGGTATGCGCGTTTACCGCAAAAATAACCATTTGTCGTATCCCCCTTGTTAAGAACAGTCCCCTTACTGCCTCAGCCAGTTTCGGTATTCTTGGCGTTGCCATATCGAACGACAAGCAATTTTGAATTTATCTGGAGGGCAAGGCCCAATTCAAGCCTCCAAGAAGCTTGGTGTGCTCAATAGATCAAGAGGTTACTTCACACCGGCCCACCGACTGCAACATTATAAAGCAACATCATAGGTTCGACCTCACATGGAGTACTGTTTCGCATCTTTGGGCAGGGGCATCCCAGTACCAGTTTCTCCCTCTGGATCACATCCAACACCGAACGGCTCGAATTGTCGACGACCAGAACCTTTCTGATAAGCTTGATCTTTGACTTTACGTAGAGATGTTGCTTCGCTCTGCATCTTCTATCGCATTTATTACGGGAAGTACTTAAAAAGTTTTCATAAAAAGGAACAATGGAGATAATTTTTGTCATATACAACTCGCCATCAAAATATGTGAGCAAACAATCACCTCTGTTTTCCCACCCTTAGGGTAGGATATTTGTTTCTTAATTTATTTGGGACCAACTTCGAGGTGTACTCTATCCATTGA